AGTATGCCTCTCTGTTGGCAGCTGGGCAAGCCACAAATAAACGTTTGTCTCTATGGATTTGCCACTTCCTTCTCAAATATTTAATAAAAACTGAATCATAGAATATTTGTCCTTTTGTGTCAGACTTATTTCCCTCAGCATAATGTTTTCAAGGCTCATCTATGCTGTAGCATTTATGAGAACTGCATTTCTCTTTATATATGAATAATATATTGTGTGTATATGTCACACTGTGCTGACCCAATTTATTTGTTGATAGACGGGTTGTTTCTGCTTTTGACTATTGCAGATAATGCTGCTATGAACACTGATACACAGGTTCTCTGGGATATATACCTAGGAATGAAATTGCTGAGTCATGTAGGACTTTATCTCATGCGCTTTGGACATGTGAGCCAGAGAAGCCAGTTCTTGGAAAAGGAGAGCAGATTTGGAAAAGTGCAGGATCATGGAAGGAGAGGAAGACCAACAATGAGCAGAACTAGTACAGTGGCTGCAGCAGGGAGCTTGATTAACAGAGAGCTGAGATTGTGAGCGTGCTGCAGGGTTAGGGAAGGCTTCGATCTCTCGCACTTGGGTCTTTGAGTCAGCAGCACCTAGCAACATCACAGTAATTCTCTATGGAACCTTTTGAAGAACAGCCAAAAAGTTCCACAGTGATTGGACTATTTTACGTTCCTACCAGCCACGGACAAGAGTTCCAGTTTCTCGGGATCCTCCTTGCCAGCCTTGGGGGTGCTTAATCTCTCTGTCTCAGTCTGTTTATCTGTCTGTCTCTCTCTCCCACTCTGGGTGTGTGTTTGTGTGTATGTTTATAATAACCAACCTTGCGAGTTCAAAGTGGTGTTTCATTGTGATTTTAAGCACTGGGCTGTTTACAAAAAGCTTGGCAGTTTGAATCCACCAAGTGGCTCCACTTGGGGAAAGACCTGGCCGTCTGGTCTCCTAAAGATTTCAGTGGAGGAAACCCTGTGGGCAGCCCGCCTCTGCTTGTGAGTCACTGTGAGCTGGAGCCGCCGTGACAGCACACAGCAATAGTAAACTCTAGTGACAGTGAGCACCAGTCATGTCTATTGGCCATTCGCACCTTCCCTCTGGAGACTTGTCTCTTCATGTCCTTTGCCTGTATTTTAATTGTCAGTTAATGTCTTTGTTGTTGAGCTGTAGGCGTCCTTTATATATTCTGGATTTAACCTTTTCTAATTTATGAATCACAGACATTTTCTCCAATTTTGGAAGTTATCACTTTACTTTGTTAGTAATATCACTTGATGTGCAAATGTTTTTCCTTTTTTGTGAAAGCCAGTTAGTTTTTTCCTTTGTTGCTTGTGCTTTTAGTGTCATAAACAGTTTTTCTGATACTGTGCTCCTTGAATAAGGTGTTTATTTTTTTTAAAAACTTTATTTTTTTTTTGTGCATGTACCGTCAGATCTGACTGGTACAGGAGGAAGTTGTCTCTCCTCCAGCGGATTAGCTGGTGGGTTTAAACTGTTGTACCTCTGGGACAATAGAGAGTCAGACATCCATCTTGGTCTTTTCTTCTTCTTCAGCCTTTGTAATGCTCTTTTGCATTCTTCATGGACGATTTTCTTGATATCCTCCCAGAGCTCATTTGGTCTACGCTCATTGGTGTTCAAGGCCTCAAACCTGTCCCTGAGATGGTTTTGGAATTCGAGTGGGACAGACTTAAGGTCAAATCTTGGTTCCCGTGGACTTGACTTAATTTTCCTCAACTTCAGCTTGAATTTGCATATGAGTAGTTGGTGGTCTGTCCCACAATCAGCACCCAGCCTGGTTTTCACTGCTGATATTGAGCTTCTCCAGCGAATCTTTCAACAAATGTAATCTATTTTATTCCTATGCATACCATCAGGTGAAGTCCATGTGTATAACCTGTGTTCATGTTTCTTATAAAAGGTATTTGTAATGAATAAATCATTGAATGTGCAGAACTCTATCATTCTATCTCCAGCCTCATTTCTCTCACCGAGCCCATGTTTTCCAGCTACTGATCCTTCTTCCCTGTTCTGTTCCCAACTTTAGCATTCCAGTCACCCATTATTATTAATGCATATTGATTGCATGTTTGATCAATTTCTGACTGCAAAAGTTGGTAAAAATCTTCTATTTCCTCTTCTTTGGCTCTTGTTGTTGGTGCATATGTTTGAATGATAGTGGTATTCACTGGACTTCCTTGTATGTGTGTGGATATTATCCTGTTGCTCACCACATTGTATTTCATGGTAGATCTAGAAATTATTTTTTAATTATGAAACCAACCACATTTTTTTCTCACCTTTTCATCCCCAGCATAGTAAATCATATAATCATCTGATTCAAAATGTCCCATGCCAAGCCATCTCATTTCACCAGTACCTAGTATGTCAATATTTATGTGTTCCATTAGCACTGAGAAGCCAAAACTAAAGGAAGAAATCAAGAAATCGAAGAGCTGAACAGAAAATTTCAAAAGGCAGCTTGGGACGACAAAGCAAGATACTATAATGAAATGTGCAGAGAGATGGAGTCAGAAAATCAAAAAGGCCGGACTCGCTCAGCGTTTCTTAAGCTGAAGGAATTGAAAACCAAATTCAAGCCATGGGTGGCAATACTTAAAGATAGTTTGGGTAGAATGTTGAATTATCTAGGAAGTATCAAAAGAAGATGGAAGGAGTACACAGAGTCACTGTACCAGAAGGAATTGGCTGACACAGAGGAATTTTCATGAAATAACATATGAGCAAGAGCCTATGGTGACGAAGGAGGAAGTTCAAGTTGCTATGAAGGAATTGGCAAAGAACAAGGCTCCAGGAGTTGACAGCATACCAATTTATTTATTTCAACAAGCAGACGCTGCCCTGGATGTGCTCACTAAGTTGTGCCAGGAAATCTGGAGGACAGCCAGCTGGCCTACTGACTGGAAGAGAGAGATATTTGTTCCCATTCCAAAGAAAGGTGACCCAACAGAGTGTGGAAATTATCGAACAGTATCATTGATATCACCTGCAAGCAAGATTCTGTTGAAAATGATCCAAAAACATTTGGAACAATATGTCA